CAAATTTACAACGTTTTGACAAGTTTTTAAAACGTTGTACATTTGCTGTTGTATTAAAGTTTTTCCTCATTACCCATTCAAGCCGTCTCCAGCCATTATTAGTCTCAAAGTGGGTTCCTCGTCATTGAATTTGAATACATGTCATACTTCGTCCACATATGTGGTAGGCTATATTACTGAACATAGTGATAGTGAGCCATAGTATTGTACCAAAGAAAAACAAAATAATTAAATGCGGCTGGGGCTGAAGGACCATGACTTGTATATGAATAGACCAAGTGCAGTCTGTCAAGGCAAAAAAAATCCAGAGGAAGTGCCTTGGGCTATATCAGATTATGCCAAGTGCGGTCCATCTGGGCGAAAACATCCAATGGAAGCACCTTGCATAAGCTTGTGAGATCAACAAGTGCAATCTGCCCAGGCAAAAAAACATCCAGAGGAAGTATCTTGGATATATAATATTTATTATTTTGGCAAGTGTGGTCCTTCCTGGCATGAACATCCATGGGAAGCACCTTGGGATATGTTGGATTATGCCAATTGCAGTCCATCTGGGCAAAAAACATCCAGTAGAAGCACTTTGCATAAGAGGAACAACACACCAGAGACAGTGCAATGGGTGTCTACAATTCCCTATTTTGAAAAGCAGACAGACCTTGGTTGTAGTAATCACAGGTCAGTAAGGATTGGCAGAAATCCCATCTGCTTTACTCATGAGGTCCTGGAGTGGCAGTCCTGTATTAATGAAACTTGTAACATTTAGTAAAAAAAAATTTAGACACACATACCACTGGACAAGCTGCTGGTGAGCATTATAGAATTACTTATATCTAGTGCTAATATAATATAAAGCATACCCAACCAGGCAACACCTGCCACCAGGTGGAATCCTGAAATGCAATATGTATCAACTAAAAATATATCGAAAAAGTAATATGTCGACTTACCTCAATCAAAGACAAACAGACGTGTGTAGAATTTCCACAGGAGGAAGACGATACCTGCCTGAGGAAGACACATGCAGATAATGTGTGTGTGACATATATATTGGGAGTTGTCCTCATCCCAGCCTGAACGATCTCCTCCAAAGACGAGCAGCTAAAGACATAGTTAGATGATAAACTGGGTGTGAAGAAACAATGATCAGAAAGGGACTTTCCATTTACAAGTCAGAATACCCCAGTCATATGAGTTGATGAATACAACCAGTGAGTGCAATAGGGGACGGATCATGAAACACAGAAGGAATTCTTGGAACAATAATATGAAAGGAAGCAGTAAGAGCCACATAACATCTCAGAAAATGAACAAGACAAAGGAGTCTAGCCAGATCCGAACGAGAGTACAAGTGGGAAATGGAAAATAAGGAAATAAGAGAGAAAGCCAAACTACCTACCTGGGGTACAGATGTCTAGAGTAGGAAAGCCCAATCAGTATAGAGGATAACATAAGAGGAATGGGAAAGGATGAAGAAAATATCAATGGCATAAATATCGGAACAACAATAACCACAAGTAAGGAGGAGGAAGAGGACTTAAGGGAAAAATGATACAAGGAATATGTAGCAATGGGTTCAAATGGAGAACTGGACAGGGCATGAAGGACAAAACTGAGTTCCAATATGACAAAGCAAAAGGATGTGGAGGACATAGACAAAAGGAATGGAATAGGAGGGAAAGAAAAGGGGAGGAGAAAGCTTTCCAGAAATGGGAGAATCAGAAGTTGTTCAACAGGGTAGCCCTATAACTAGAAACAGTTGCCACAGACAAACCCTGACCAAACAATCAGGTAAGGGAAGGAGAAGGTGCTCCAGTAAGGGCCAGAGCAGAGGGATCCATGTCCAAGTAGTCCAATATGGAGCAATGAGCAAGACATGACAAGGAGTGGTCTGGATAATCAAAACGACTGGAGAGGAGGCTGATTGGAGGGGCAGCATACAAACAAAGACCCCTTCCATCGTGACTGAACATAACTAGCCCCAGAACTGAAGGGTGTAGAACCAGAGACCAAAAGGAAGAAATTTTGGCATTCCAGTGAGTGGCAAACACATCTATATGTGATGTTCTTGGTTGAGAAGAAACCCACCAAATTCATAACACCAGGAAAGTGGCATGCCAAGATCACCATGTAGTGGTCATGGGCCCAGTGAAGAAGATCAAGAGTCTGAAAACACACAGATTTGGATTTGGTTCCCCCCTTGTTTAGTGATACAGCTGACAACCATAGAATAGTTGAAATGAACCATAACCACCCAACCCCTCAGGAGAGGGAATAAATGATAAAGATCCTGACAAACTGCCAAAAGTGGAGGATGTGAAACTAAATAAATTTTTATGTTTTATATATAATTTTCAAATAACCAAAAAATAATAAATTACTATATCGATACCACAGAATTTCACTACAATTTATCATGCTTAGTAAATAATCTGTATTTGGGTCTAGAAAAAAATATGAAATTTCAAGCAGACTAAAGACCCAACCTACCTCCTTGAAATCTTGATTCGAAAGAACTAGATGGCATCCTAACACTTTAAAATGGCTGAGAAAGCCACTAGGGGAACATTCTGAGCTTTTGATTGGTTATTCACATGTCATATACTGAAGTAAGTGTATATAAGAGACCGTTTCAAAAAATGGAAAGAGGTGAGTGGGGCCAATGTGTTTGATTCAGTACATGAGCGATATCTAAGCAAATAGAAAAGATACAAGGTTCTTATTTTATATTCTAGCTTGTCAATATCGGTATTTTGAGTTCCTAATTCGTACAAAACTATAGACTTAGTATTTTGACATCACAAACATCTAATTTGAACCAGTGCTGCATTTAACATATCACATGACACACAAAAATTGATGTTTAACTGTATTTTTTTTTAATACTTACTTTTAAATTATGAAACTAAATAATGTATAATATTAAAATTTGAATTACAATCTACAGTTTGATACCAAATTTATTGACATGAATTCATGAAATAGTAGTTCAATAAAATTTTTAATGTGAGTCAACAAACGTGATGACATGGCCTTTGACCCATGACCCCTCTGGAGAGGGTTAACGAAATTTTACTCATATCTAATCCTCAATTAGATGTGACTAGTAGTAAAAGAAAAAGAACTTTACAAACTAACTAACAAACAGTGAAAGGAAGTATAAACAACAAACTAATACACCCACAAAGTTACAATTACCCAAGCAGTCACTATTGTTGAAAACCCATACATATACCGAAAATTAAACAAAAACAAAATAATAATCAAATGCAAAATGCAAATTGAAAGTAACTTAGATGGTAAAAGAATTATAAATATCTAACTTCCCAAACACTAATCAGAGAAGACATGAAAAACCTCAATTATTGCGTGAGGAAATTAGGTCAATCCAAACTAGCTCACATAAACTTGCTGCACAAGAGTATACCTACTGAGAGTGAGGAATCCATACAAAAAAACTTACCACAGATCTCCTGGGAAAAAGAACAATGCCTAATCCAAGAAATTCTGTGAAGGAACAGTAACAGGTGAAAGGTGCAGTAGAAAGAAATTTCAACTCAGTATTATATCCTTCCTCACAAAAAATCATAATGTGAAAAGACGAAATTGTTGGTCGAATGTAATACACAAACTCCCCGCGAACTAAAGCCTGTACTTCCCCAGTAGACATCATCAACCCTGAGACCTAGGGAACTGTGTCAGAACCATTTTCAACTATCAAGGGAATTTCATCATCTGCCATAATAAATCTCTAACTCATATGACCAAAATAAAATTTGGAAAACAGAAATATTTCTAAAACAAATGAGTAGAAACAATGGAAATCAAAACACAAGAAGTCAAAACTTGAAGTTGAAACAGATATAAATTTGTGATCAAGCAGAATCAAAAGTTTGTAGTCACATGGAAAGTGAGTTAAAACACATACCTACAAACTAGAATGCCAATCGAAAAAGTGAGGATTGTTCTAGAATAGTAGAGGGAGCGAGCTGCACTAGTATAGATGGCACAGTATAATTGATGGAGGGTAGTCACATAATCAGCACCTTCTCTGAAACGGCACAAAACTGATGGGATATAAAAGACTGATGCACTGTTAGCACAAAATTATAACAATGCTTAGAGGCTAGTCCAGGATCAAGATAGCTTTGGGTGATGGGAGGCAAGACCATTTTGAAAAACTATTTGCCACTTATGAACTATATTAAAAATTCTATGTAAATTAAGGATAAATGATACAAGTCGAAGTAAAGTACATTTTGCCTCATAAAACTGTAATTATTAGAGTAATTATTAATTCTGAATGGTATTGTTAACTCTAAGCCTTTACTGGAAGATAAATTAAAAAATTTAAGTGAGGTTGTGTAATATATTACAATATCATTTTATATAAATTTTGAACAGCTCTCTGTTGCTACTAAACATATTTTTTTACAAATTTAAGGCTTGTGATATAAATATTTTTCATCTTTAACACACTTTAACACTGATTATTATTGTAAACAACAACAGTCTATTTAAACTTACAGTTTCAGAACTGTCACATTTAAAGATGTGACACTGGAAAACTGCAGTTTTGGACTCGTCTCCATGATGACATGTGAAAGCAAAACAATTAGATTCAGTAGTGTCCTTATAACCTTGGGCACAGAAAAGAATTTGATGTATACCAAAGTTGGAAATTTCACCATTGGTGTCAGGCTCAAAAAGTCTAAAAAAAACAAAGAATATGATTACAAACAAAATAAAACTACTTATCTTCTAACATCTAGTGGTAGATATTTTTTAAAATATTGTTAAAAATAAATATATATAAAGTATTTTTCTAATACACTCTCCTCCAATAAAATAAGATCACTCATAGTACTGCCAACTGAAAACCTCACAACATAATGCAACAACATTTTATTAGTACAGTAAGAACTTAAATGACAAAAGTTTTACGTGCTGAAAGATCATGTAATACTTATATAATATGTTATGGATTGCTTATTCTTTCTGTTTGTAATACAATATTAAGTGCCAGATTAAGCATTTGTGGGGCCCATAGTATTTTTAGAAGATGAGGCCCCTATCTGCCAGAAATTATGTTCTTTACCTTCATTTTAATTCTTAAAACTTTATTATGACTAGTACAGTTTTATTCAATTTTCATTAAAATTATTTTAAGCAAAAATGGCTGATATATATCTAAAAAATTAAACAACTGTCATAATAATATTATATTACCTTATAAAAAAAAATGAATGAAAATTTTAAACTACATATTATATTAATACCATTGAGAATATTATAAGATACCTATTTCAGTGCTCATCATTAAAATTTTCATTATCTTATTTGCCATTAATTCTATATTTGATAAAATATTTTAAAGATTTTAATACATAATAACAATTTTATTAAGCAAAAATAAAAGTCTAATTTATCTTAACTTATCATAAAGTAGTTTTACACGCCAAACAGTTATATTATATGCCATTATTTAAAGGTCATTATGATAAATTTAAACAAATTTTTGTCAAACCAATAATAACACTGTAGGTTTAATACAATTCTTCAAGTACATCATATCTTGTACTTTGTTTTGTATCTGTTTTTCAAATAGCTATATAAAGAACACTTTCTGCCAGATTAATCCATTATATTCACCTTGGAATACCATATGCAAGACAAGCCCTGCATTTAAATTTTCATATATAGTGACAATGATTAAACCAAAACATGTTTGTTCACTTACACTGTATCTGTAATTTTTTGTTACACCACGAGTGGATAACATTTGCTCCACAGCGATTCAAAAAAAAAGTATTTGCACTGAAGCCACTCTGCTTCTTTCACTCCAGGAGTGCTCCAGAGTCACTCTGCTCTATTTTGCTCCAGGAGTGCTCTGGACTAGAGTGCTTCAAAGCCCTAGCAGATATAATACAAATGGATTTCTGTGGCATTTTTAAATTTTTTACAATCATATTGAAATATGCTAAACATATGTTCTTATGCATGTGGAGATCCCCATAAGCACAGGGCTCATAGCATTTGCTACTTATTCTAACAGGCTAATCCAGCAGTGACAATATTAGTATTAAAGGTATTACTTTTTGTTTCTTACAGTAGAGTGTAGATTATACAGAATTATAACAATTAACACTGTGTCTTGTAGTTCTGGCAGTAATGAGAGGATAACTATTAAAAGAACATAAAATAAAAATAACTTCTACTTTATTTCTTACAAATAATTGTAAAAACAATGTACATAAATATCAAGCAACATAAAAAGCACAGTCATCAGGAATATGCACAATATTAATAAATATTGTAATTGGTGCCAATTATTTTACTGTCTTTTGTACACAAGGTTTCATTACTGGGAAAAGTCTATTGTAAAAACCTGCTTGATGAGTGAAAAAAATGAATTATCCTATTACATTTTGAAAACAGTTATTCATAATTTATAAAAATGCTGGTTTCTTCAGATAAAAAAATCAGACAATCTATTTTATTATTATTACTGCTTTTTTTGACAAAAAATGAAAGATTGGTAGGCAAACATTTTGTTACAATGACTCCTCTTATCAAGTCAATCACTTTAGCTAGCTATTTTGAGAAGCCAATTTGAAAATACCCATAAATAAAACGTTTGATAACATAATACCACAAACATAAACCTTTAGAACAATTAGTTACTAACTCTATGTCAATATCCTGCCATATGTGAGAGAAGTATGTGGTATCATCCCATTAAATATTTCATTTTTAAATATGAGGTAATTTTTCATATTTTTCAAATCAAATTAAGATATTATACTTTTATGTCTTTGTGAATAATCATTTGTATACTACAAAAGTATATTTCAACCAAAGTAAAACAAATTCTGATATTTAAAGGTCATAATCAATTTATCTTCTCAGTCAGAGGTCAGGGTCAAAACTCAGTCTTTTCAAATCCTTGCTTTGTCACAAGTTCAATAAAAATTTTGACAATTCTTTTATTTGAAATGTTTTCAATTTTAAAGACTTGTATGTCAATTCTGTGCTGTTGATGTGCACAAATACCAATGTATTTATAGAAATTATGCAATGATAACAGCAATGCAAATATTCCAATGTTATCCATTACATAATCTTTATTATTATCATACCCTTTAACTATCATTTCTAATCTTACATTCTATATACCTGCATAAGAAGCAAGATTAATTTTGTAAGTATTTGCTTTTAAACGTGCTTAATTTATCTGAGCACCTTACATTATTACATCAAGAATGAAGCCTCAATAAATAAAAATAAAATGATTTCATTAACTCTTTGCATACAGAGTCAGTCAATATGACCACTCTTGTAACCACCATCACAAAATCTGGCAAACTATCAATAAACATTAGAAGAATTTTCTGCACAAAAATATCAATTTTTTTTTTAAATAAGTATTTGTATAAAAGATTTGTCCATGAAAATATGGAGTCAGAGTGCTGACTGCTTTGAGTGAAAATAGTTTTATATTATGTTTAAAAATACTTTTCTTCTTCTGAAAAATTTTCAAATTTCATTTGCATAAACTCTAAAACCTCCTAAATAAATATGAAACATTTTTTTATGCAAAACTTTATATTTTATGATATTTTCTATACCTTAACTATATATGAACTCAGTTGGTCTTACCAACCTTCGACACTGCAAGAGAAACTTTCAAACTGAGGATGAAATAAATAATGCTTTGTAATGAAAACAATGTAATAGAATACATCATTTGATAGATTAAAACTTTGCCTTTCAATTGGTTGTATATAACAATGTAAAACAACAGGAAACTTGTGAACAAGAGGATGTGGCGAGTCTGATTTTCTAGTGTATAATAATAAACAAATAAGATTGAAAGCTATAATATTTAGACCTTGTCTTAGTAATATCTACGTAGAATTACACATGGACTTTTCTCTACTTAAATTCTTTAATTGTGAGCCTTCTTCAGGCAATAATGTATGTTGCCCGATGAAGGCTCTGGTAAGAGGGCCAAAAGCTTGCAAATAAAAATATTTTAACGCAGAGAAAAGTCCATGTATAATTCTACATGTTAACTTACTTACATTACGAGTCTTAAACAATGAGTAATACCTATATTAAATGAGTAATTTACATTAAATTTATGGGAGGTAAATAAAATATAGAAGGGAGAAAACCTAGAGAACAAATGCCACAATTCTCATCTAGGAGAGATTGAAGATTTTTTTTAATATTTATTTATAAAATTAAGAATGTAAAGCTTATATAATATCAGAATTTGATTTATTAACTAAGTTGGATGCCCAATTTATTCATATATATTGATAATTAAGTAATTTAATTATATTTCGAATATAACTCTAAAAGGTTGTGACATGCACACTTTGACCTACCTGTAGCAATAAGATTAATAAATGTTGGAAAACAACATGGTAAATGTTTGACATGTTTGATTTTCTTCCTTCTCTTAACTCTCTCTCAATACGGGACCATTTTTACTCGTATATAGCATTAATACTATAACTTTTATTACAGTGTGTGTGTGTGTGTATCTTCATAAAATTTGGCAGACTTTTAGTACACATCACAAGTATTTTGTACACAAAAAATCTAGTTTTTTAAAGAGGTATTTTTACTAAAGATTTGTCCATGAATATATCGAGTATTTGTTTTGAATAGTCTGTGTACAAAGTGATTTTCATGTTGAGATTAAACATGAAAATCACTTTGCACAAAAATATCAAATTTGATTTGTGTATTCTCTAAAACCTCCACAAACAATGGAAATGTGTTTTCACTAAAACTTTATATTTTATCTGTTATTTTCTCTACCCGAGCTCTATACAACATTGGTCAATTTGACCAACCTCATAACCACAAAAAAAAAAATCTAAATAAATCTAAATTAACCTTTTTTTCTTTGTAGAATAACTTCAAATTGTAACATAAAATTACATTCATTTATTCTAAGTATCTCTAAGTTTGTAACAGTATACATCTATTTATAATCAATATATATCATGCAGCTCACGTTATGCTAATAAATTACATTACCCACAAGCTATTACGAGTTGCTCGCATGTGTGCCTTGTGACACATTTATATTATAATATTATTATTATTTATTTCACCTAATCTTAACTAACATAAAAAGATCCCTATTTTTACATTAAGTCATGTAAACAAAATATGAACTTTCGAGCAGACTAAAGACTCAACAAAACCAACTTGATGTCTTGTATCAAAAGAACAAGTTGACATCATAGTATTTGAAAATGGCTGAGAAAGCCACTAGTGGGACATTCTGAAATTTTGAATCATTATTCACATGTCATAGACAGAAGTAACTGTATATGAGGAAGTGTTTCCAAAACTGTTTCCAGGGCCACTGTGTTTGTTTCAGTACATGAGTGGTATCTCAGCAAATAGAAAAGATAGGAGGTTCTTATTTTATATTCTAGTTTGTCAATATTTGAGTTCCTAATTTGTAAGATACTACAGACTTTGTATTTGGACATCAAAAAGATCTAATATGAACCAGTGCTGCATGCAACATACCACGTGATACACAAAAATTTATGTTTAGGTGTGTTTTTTAATATTTACTTTTAAATTAACATACAACATGCATTCAACATACCATGTGACACACAAAAATTTATGTTTAGGTGTGTTTTTTTTTAATATTTACTTTTAAATTAAGAAATTAAATAATGTATAATACTAAAATTTGAATTATAATCTACAAGTTGATACCAAACTTATCAACATAAGTTCATAAAATAGTAGTTCAATAAAATTTTGAATGTGAGTCAACAAACACGACGACATGGCCTTTGACCCCTGACTTGTATGGAAAGGGTTAAATAAAGATTATAACTGCACCTAGTGTATATCCCACACAATTACAAGTTAACTAACATTAGTCTCATGACAGACAAATTAACAATTATCTAAATAAACTAAAAAAGAAAGTAGCATAATAAAATGTAACAAAAATTATTGCTCAAACTTTGGATAACCTTCTACTTCATCCTTCTTGTATTACTTCATTTTCATGTATCCTAATATGTTTGCTAGGAAATGTTTAAGAAATCTTAAATTAAAAGAAATATATTTCATTTTGCTACCACATTTAGCATTAATTACATTTGTAGTTGAACAATGAAATTCAAATATGGGCTATAAAAAAAAAAGAAATAGGGATGATTCTACATTTTTTACCAATATATATTTCACTACGTTGCTCCTGTAACTATGAAATCGCAAGTAACTTAATATGGGTTCTTTTTTTGCATTGTTTTGTTCTTTAAAAGTAAATTGTTATACTGCAGTACTTGTTTTCATACACACAAAAATAGATTTTCTAAAAAGTTATCTAACGTACATAATTACTCCAACTACTTGTTTAAAACTGTGTTGTTTTATCACAGTAGGAGGTGAAACTTCAGTCCAAGCCTGCCAGTTCAAATTTATTTATAGCAAGGATGATATGCAAGCTTTGGGAAAAGAAATTCTGCTAATTAAACAACAAAATAATCAGTTTGCAGGTTTGTGATGCATTCCATACTTTTCTTGGTAATTTCAGCCAAAACAAATTGTTTTTGCATACTCTATATATTTATTTTATAGCTTTTAACTAGTGAGACATCTTGTGATTGATGTCACACATTAAGGTTTTCATTAAAAGAAATAAAAAATACAAATAATATAAAAATGCACAGAGAGCAAATCTTACATAACAGTGCCTTCAGAGTGAACAGGAACTGATAAGTTGATCTCCACTGCCTGGTTAGATGACTGCTCATTCAAAATGGCTATATTTCTTTGAATTTCAACTTCACTACGAGGAGCATCAATAGTAGCACATCCTAAGTAAGCAACCTTCTTGAACAAATTTTGTCCTTTATCAGATGCTGACCTAGATAAATGATCTGTAAATAATATGGCATTGATTTACAGCATTCCAGTTTTTATATATAAGAACAATATCCTTTTTTACCTCCAATTTCTTGCAAAACAGATAAAACCTATATCTCTTAATTTAATCCATGTTTAGCCATTAAAAGTACTGATTCTTATCTAACAAAATGATGATATTTGCCTTCTAAATCCAGCTGTATAGACCAAACATGTAGCAAAAGAAAGGTGATTTCAAACATGACTCCAAAGGGAGCCATTTTGTATATGACAAATTTCTGTATGATTCCTTCAACCATAGGCACTGTTTTGTAACAGTTTTTGTAAGCATTGAGTCATTGTCACATTGCACAAATACTTGGACCCATCAACCATTTTCCTGAAGCCACAGCATGATGAATTACAATACCATACATGGCCAGAAGAATCCTGAGTCACATCTATGATGTACAAGTTCTCAATTCAGAATTTGAAATACAGTCACATACCTGCCCATGTATAGTCTACTGTAATCATGTTTCCCTGATTACTTAAGACATAGCTCCTTCAGCCTGTTTTTTCCTCTCTATCTAAAACAAGATGTTTCTTCTTCATAGAAGTCATTATTTGAAAGTTTGACTCATAAGTAAAAAAAAACACTTACCCCCACTTTTCTGGTGTACAAACTTTATGTTATTTGGCAATTATGAGTCTAGGTTTTGCTGAATCGTCATTTGTGAACTTTTAAGAAGGTGGAAGTTCACTGGACCTTCACGCAGACCTGTTTTAAATACCTTGTTGAATATATTGCTTAAGAGATCAAGTGGAATTAATCAGACTCTTGCTAATTTTGCAAGTTCAACTAGATCTCAAGCCATTAATCACATACCTAGACATAGGTGAGACTCGTATGTTAAGAAATAAGATCATAAGTTTGTATACATAGAACATGAAATCAGTGAAAAAAATAACAAAAACATATAAAATATACAAACTACTCACACACACTCATATAAACAGATATATAGAAAGCACAACAATGGCATAAAAGTCAAGCTTAATCACATAGGAAACAAAAAAGTAGAAAACAAGGAACACATTTGAACAAGTTTGAATAAAACTTCATCTACATTCATTCCAGTTGTAAAAGGCTCTCTGAAAAGTACAGAAAGAAAGTACCCAAGGTACTTCTTTAGGTGAAAAGAGAAACTAATAGGTATGAATGTAGCTTTGTCACCAGTGCATTGAACCAATAGTTACCTGCATATACAATTCTTTGTATGTGTTATCACATTTGAACTGAAACTTTAAATAAGGTTGAAAACAAACACTAAAAGTTAAATTGAATCTACAGTAAAACATATATTAATACATCTTGAATGTGAAATCTTTAATATTACTTTAACTCATTTCTGATTATCTTGAATAAGATACAGAAAAAAACATACTCCTGACTGTAACATTCTACTAGGCCAAAATCAATACATCGACAAATAGCCTATTAAAATATATAATCTACGAATGAAATATTATTACTCTGAAAGGACACTAACAAATTTCATCTTTCAACCCAAGTTAACATGTACTTTAATGAAAAGCTAAGGTTTTTATATTTAGGCACGTACAAATATATCCTATTACTGACATCATCGATAAATACAACTTAAGAGTATACCATTCCCTATTTCATCAACATGATATCATGATATGTTCTTATTTGGGGTCTATTAAAAACAAAACTACTTCATATAAACTAAAATATCTAGCAAAAACAACACTACAGTAATTCTGACAAATTTAGCATGCAGATTCTTAGTTATATTTAGGTTATCATATGCTCATTTAATAATTTATTATACATGTAGTTTTCCTCCCTATAGATCTCAGAAATCCCTTTGATCATAATTATATCAATAATATTTAACTCTCTCTACAACCCAAGTACAGTTACAAAATGTATTTGTTCACATAAATGATTTATATTACTGACTAACCACCAGTGTGGACTGTTGAAATAGAAGTGTCTTTGACAGTAGTTATCTCCAGTTCCATAGGTAATTTGTCTATTTCATCACTTATTTGAGACTTGCTGCTGGTGGTACCATTTTTCTGACCCATTCCACTCACTAGTGGTTTAGTAAGTTGTCTGTCATAATTTTCAACAGCTGAACTCTGTAATGGGTCATTCCACTGAAAAACATAACAAACATACAGTTAACTGTAAGAAATATTGAAATCCTTTGAAGTTTTATTCTTCATTATGATCACAATAGTATAAAAGCCCATCAAAAATAACAGGAAACATAAGCCTACCAAATTTGAATCCTCCAATATGCATTTGCAACTTTGCCACCTGTAAATAAACATAAGAATAATAAAAAGCCTTCTAGCTTCAGGAAACCAAAGCCTATCACGAGCAATATCTCCTTCACCTAAAGAGTGTGTCATCCTAGCATAAATCATTGTCTTAGCACTCATTCATCACAGTTATTTTCTTATCACATTATTGCAACAGTTCTCTTAAAACTACATTTTTTGTAAGTACTTGATCATTGTTCAAAAACTTCTCTTCAAAACAAATGGCAAATTAATTTTACTCAGCACTAAATAAATCCTTGGTATAAAAACTCCCTTCTTGACAGGCTTTTGTATAGCTGAAAAAATGCCAAAATTTAGGAACTATTTATGCCTATGTTAGTGATTGAATTCAAGTAAAATAGGAATGGGCCATCAAAACAGGAAATATTATAAGAGAAAAAGTGGAAATGGACTTTTGTAACTCATGAAATTTGGAGAAATCGAGTGTGACAGACCGACACTTGGCTTTTATATTTATGATAGTATATATCAGCTGTGAATATTTTTAAAAGTTTGAAGACTTCACACATTTGATAGCTTTCATAAATCATACATGTACCAAACATTCACTTAAATGGTAACAAATATATTTCATTTTCAAAAGCAAAAACTAACACACTTAGTTGTAAAGTAAGTCTTAAATATAATCTTGAGATAATAACTTTAAAAAGTCTGATGTCTATTTACAATAAACAACTAGTATAAAGAAGGGCAGTAACCATAACCATTAGTTCATGATGTACATTCTCAAGGTAACTGCTCACCTTTTTTTTAACTCTGTCATTCACTGCTAAAGGCACAGGTATAGACAACACAAACATATACTGGCACCAAGAACTTAAACTTATCTCAAGCTTATTTAAATTCAATAAATAATCTTCTAGACATTTTGATCTTTCACTTATCCATACAAAACACATTAGCTCAGTCATGGTTTTTAATTCAAATAGTGAATGACTAACAGAAATTCAGAGTAATAAAATAATCCATTGAATTAGTACCTTTGAGCCTTTATTCCTTTGAAGCTCTAAAAAAAACTTTGAAAGTGAATGTTATTTTAATTGTCTTTAAGCTTATCTTGTCTTCACAAAGCACTAAAAAAAACATATTTTTATTCCTAAACCAGGGTTTTAGCCAAATAAAAAAAAACTTGCACATCAGTAAAACACTACTTAGTATAATCTCAAATTAATATTATACCCCACATTAACATTTAATTTTTTTATCAGTAGCTGACTTTCTATTTAAATGGTAAAAGAATGTTATTTTGATTCACTAACAGTCCTTCATTTTAATAAATACAAAGAGAGGTATAAATTGCTCTCCCTAAATTACCAACCAGAGCAAATTGCTCTCCTCATAACAAAAATTATTTTTCCTAGTACTCACTGATGACATCTTTCATTGTATATTTGATCACCGAAATCAAGCCACACGAAAAATACAACTTTCCATCCATTGCTGCCAAATGTTATCACTTTGCACAAAAACAACTGAACTGGAAAATCGTGTTTATATATGTATGATATTAGTTACCCTCATGTAGGGGTTACATTTCACGATGAAATAAGGTGTATGTTACACCTACTCTTTAATGGTGAGCATTCATGTAAGATCCATACTGATTGACTCTATTATAGTTTAACGCATCTTATTGACCAATTTGTTATCATTTTCCTGAACTGAAAATGTATTTCCAAACATACTTACCTAATACACTAATAGCTATTTCTCGATCTTCATCTTTGCCATCTAATGTTGTGTTCACTTGCTCCAGTCTTTATATACCCCACTCGACTGCCCTCGGCAATATCTAACTTGCAAAACTTTACGCCGGCCCTCACACACCCTCTATGCAGGTACTGTATATATATATATATCACTTTTTCACAACTTACCTCATTCTGGTTACTAACACTGATTCTTAGTGGGGAGGAAGGGAAGAACAGAGTAAGCGGAGGCAAGTATGCTTGGAAATACATTTTCAGTATAGGAAAATGATAAGTTCCAAAACATACATACTCCACTGACACTAATAACTAGAATCCCACATTGAGAAGGTGGAGGGCTGGTGAGGACAGAGATCATCCAGAAAGCATCTGCAGAGAACAAATATGTACCAGGAGAAGTGGTTTCAAAGTGGGGAACACTGCACTACATCCAGAACAGGTATGCTCTTCACCCAGAACTACAGAAAATTGAAAAGGGTGGAATATAATACAAGTATAATGGTCCAGCTCCAACCAAACAACCAAGGTTCCATAACTCGAGTTGGATTTAAGGGGTCATGGTACCCATATCCAACATTGGTGGCCAGAGGCAGTTGGACCACAGATACATATATATATATCTTTGTGTTAGGATCCCTACCAGTAACCACAAAATAATGTGTTTCAAACCATCACATTTATGAAACAAAGAAAGCAACATCAACGTGGACAATCCTTCCGATCAACCTGAAGAAGTCCAAAAGGCAACATTCCAGGTCTGGATTGACAGGATCATATGCCATACTCCACCAGTCTGTATTTACTAACAGTTGTCTTTACTCCCGCACCAAGTGGGCAAGGAGAATTCTGCTTACCCATAGAATTATGGAGAGGATGTGGAACACTGTCCCACCAAGGACCAAAGATGGCACCGTATTGCATTTGGATTTACAAGGAGGTAGTGGACCCCCTGCATGAACAACATAAGACCTGACAGTGTTCATAGGAGGGTCCAAGAACACACACACACACACCCCCCCACCAGATAGCTAAGCGTCAAATCTGTACTGGTTTTATGAGTAGTCTCTCGTGTAGGTTGGTCCTGCTCCTACAGACATCTGAGAAAAAACTTCCAGGGATCCAGATAGGAGGGTCCTCAACTTTGCCCTCTTCTCCGAGAATAGAGGAAACTCAACATTCCGAAGGAAAATCCTCTGTCAACGACCTCAGGGACGGGAACTGGGTGTGGTAAGGACTCCTGGGCTAGACTAGAAGAATTAAGAGGGGAACATAAGCATTATGGAGTCCTGAGGAACAGGTTTCAGGAGACAGTGCAACAGGTGAACCATGTTCCCTAATTTTTAAAAGCAAACTAATCTTGATTGATTCAGCTCTACGATCAGCAGAGACTGGCAAAATTCCCTTAAGCTTTATTCTAGATAGTCCAAGAGTATGTAATTTATTACAAATAATGTAATAAAATATTACCATACAGAATGATGTCCAGATGGTCTCATGGAATACCTCATCTCGACAGAGCCCATTGCAACCAGGAACCGATATAAAGGTTGCTAGTGCGGAATTTAAATACAAGCATACCTGACTGGGAACACTCACCACTGAGTGGGATCCAAAAGAAATCAATAGGGACCCTAGAAGAGAAAAAACAATAACTGTAAGTCAGATAACACATTACACACCACCCTGCTACAATCTAGTAGAGGTAGTCAACACAGCCACAGGGGAAAGACAAAATCCCATCAAAGAGGAAACTGCCAGATCATGAAGGTAATGAAATATGAATGTGTTGGGAGAAGTCCACATACTGGCCTGCGAAATATCTTCTAGAGAACATCTCAACCGAGCAGCCAAAGTCATCGATAGGTGTCAAGTCTGGTGAGAGGTGATGTGGAGCATTTTACAATCGTTAACGGATAAGCCCGAACAGGCAATGGATTAATTTCTGAAGCCATCTAGTTAAAGTAACAGGTGATAAATCCCTGGACACTGAATAAAAAGTCTGTTCCTAGGGCCTCAAAATGGTTCCATACGAGCCACATAACATCCAAGTGCCCTGACGGGACATAATAAACGATCCAGGTCTGATCTACTGTAAAGATGAGAAATGCCAGGTAAATGAATAGGAGAAAAAGATTTGTTTCCTTCTCTGACATCAAAAGTTTTTGGAACAAATGATCGGTTGGGATAGAGCAAAACATAGATAGAATGATAGAGTCCGCTGAACATGGATGGCAAATAAATCAGAATGACGGCATCCAGAAGCTTACAGCATTAAACAGTAAACTGTGAGGGCAAGGTAATATAATGAACAGGAGGCCATGGGTTCGAAGGGATGATGTGATAAAGCATGTAAAACAACCTAAAGTCCCAATTAGGCAGAAGATGGCTAAGGGAGGTGCTGATTTGAATTTTCATTCTGAAATGGGATATTCTGGGGAGAATTTAGACTCCCTGTTTCCTGCTCCTTCTTTCACTAGAGCTTCCTCTCCTGAGGACTCATCTGAGGAGAGATACTCGCAGGCCGCATGAAGGACTCCATCTCACCCCGAATCAGGTTACGGACAGCGTCCATGGAGAGTGGCTATATTCCATCAATCTGCACCATTTCTAAACATGTTAATATCTTGTGCCACCTATATTAGCACAGCTAGCTCCCTCTGCTATTCCTGCTCAATCTTCCAAAAGAACACTGAATGGGGAGGAAGGATGTGTGAATTGAGGTAAGTACCTATTAGAAATACATTTTCAGTGTAAGAAAAATGTTAACTTCCAATTTGGTCATGCAAGGTGGATGGGCCAGTGTCAGGGCATAAAATTTAAATCAAGCAGAAAGCGACCACCAAGAATGAACAGATGTGCTCCGAGATGAAAATGAAGCATACTTGTGGGGTACAACACAACTTCTGGAACAGGTATACTCTTCATCCTGGAAGTAGGAAGTTACCTGATACAGGCAGAAAAATAGGATGTGCATAAGTGTAATTTGTTCTGAGAGGTGAAATCCATAGTAAAATATGAACAGAATTAGCTATGTACATTCACAACCTCAACTAGTCAGACCAGGTTCCATAACTCATCCTCAGCATTAGAAGATTAAGGATG